ATTCATACATACACATAATTCATCATTCACATGTTATCATATAATCACATACTTTTTCAATCAAACACTATACACACAACATCATATTTCTATAGCATTTATCATACCACTAACTTATATTTGTTCATATCTCTGGATTAGCCCATGTATATATGTGAGAACTATCGATATGTGAGTCTATAGAGGTTGTGCACTATGCTGTCACCACAGCTCGTATAAATGCACCGAAGTGCCCCGTAGAATTGCATCGAAGTGCCCGTAGAATTGCACCGTAGTGCCCGTAGAATGATGTTCATAAGGACCACGTAGAATTCCTTAAGAATCATATACATATACTATGGATCAAGTATGTGTCTTTCAAGACTTCACACAGGTTCCAAAGGATATACATATGTCCTAAAGAACCGAATAAACCCTCGACTCTTGGCATGCCAACTATACCCTAGCTCTCATGACACATAACATGGGCGTTATCATTTATTTCATTTCAAATATACACATAAACTTGTAATTCACTTTCACATATCACGTATCACATAGCTTCTTTCATATGATCACATAGTCACGTAGTTCACTTACCCGTAGATCATTTCCATATAATTCACATGTCACATATGTCATGTTTTCATATAATTTCTATCATTTCTCACCCAATCACCTTTATTCATATAAACATACTTATCATATCTTGTTCACATAAGATCATATACTTCATATAATATATCGAAACACCTAGAACACTTTCACGTAGCTTATAGTCATAAGTTTTGTCTCGTATCATATACTTGTTTTCACATATATTTCCTATCAATTATTATACCATCACATAATTCCTTTAACATACATAACATATCATGTAACATTAATAGAAATACTTATAAGTCATATCACTTAAAGCACATATACTTATAGTCACATTGCTTATATCTTAATCGTATGCCTTCTCTTAAACATATATTCACATGTTCAGGTAATTCACCATTTCATCACATAATTGGGTATTCATATAACTCATTTCATTTCATTTCATATCTATCTATATATATATCCTCAAGATTATCCTAATACAAATCATATAGCACTCTTATATTTCGTATTCATCTAGGGCAGACTTATAAACATATCTCACTTCTATTATTTCTATATATAATCTAATCTGTTACTTAATTCAATTTCTTATAGCTCTTATAATCTTCTCATAAACTTCACAAATTTCTATCATTCAACCCATGTGTTATAGTTTTATTTAAACCTATGAATCTTTCCCATCTAGCTTATCTTATACGTTCATCTTATCATTTATGTTCAAATCCCCTAGTTGGTGTACTATTTTCACTTCATCCTATAGATCAATATTATCCAGTTTATTTCACTTATCATATAAAAATATAATTATATTTTACTATGATCACATAGTTTATATCTCATACTTTGCTTTCTCATGTTCACCTATATCATGTCATATGGCTCATATCTTTCTCATGCAGTCACATAGTTCAGTTTCACATATGTATATATATACCTTATATAGCACATACTTCTCATAACATTACATTCAAAAGCATGTCAACACATATATTCATGCATACATACAATTCATGTCATTCATATACGTATAATCATATATTCATGCATTCTAACATAGGAAATAGACTTGTCGCAAGTCTTGTTTCCATTTAGCACCATAAACTAACTAATATGCACTCACCTGCCTCACTAGCCAAATCCAATCTCTTATCTTTCCCTTGATCGATCTTACTTGCTAACGTTCCGGAATTGCTTTATGCGTAGAATCTACATAAATGTACATTTCGAGACCATCATTAGATACCTACACCTTGTAATTGGATACTATCAATTTAAACGAACTTATTAAATCCATATCCCCAATTTTCCTTTAGGGGGAATCGGTTCCCCCCCCCATGGGGTATCGGTTCCCCTATGACATACTGGAAATTCTTGTTCGTTTGAAGGGGTATCGGTTCCCCTTGAATGGGTACCGATTCCCCTTGCCCAGAATCATATTTTCAACCCGAAATTACTTCATTTCCTCTCAAACACTTCATATATCATCCCCTTTTCATCCTTAACTCTAGTACTACTTAACCAATCTATATTCATTTATTTCATCTTAAACCTCAAAATTCTATCCTCCATATAAGATTCAAAATCATACCAAATTTCCAATGTGTTCTAATTCCAATTCTAACACTTCCTACCTCTTAATTTAATCCTTGACAAGTCAAATTCAACTTCACAATCTATTAACTCCTTCCATATCAAAAATTCACTTAAAAACTCATTTTTCTTAATTTCTCATAACTTGTTAATCTTTGAGGTTTAAGCCCCCTAAAGCTTTCCTTAATCTTTCTTAATATCCCAAGAATCAAAACAAGCTTTAAAACGAAAGAATTAACCAACTAAAGACTCACTTACCTTATACCAAGCTTCACGGTGGAGAGGAGGAAGAAGAAGACTGAAGAATGCTCTGGACTCTTCTTCATACGTGCTTATTACCCTTAAAAAAAATATAAAAAATCTTTCTGGTCAAATGACCATAATACCCTTAATTTCCTTTAATAATTACCAAATAACCTTCAATATATATTCAAATAATCATTGAATTCTTTCATTCTTCTACTTTAGTCACCAAATTCTGAAACTTTACAATTTGGTCACTAACCCGGTATTGCGGATGTTACAAGGGGCTTTGGAAGTAGCGTAAAGAGGAGGAAAGGATCCAAATGCTTTTAAAGGTGTGCTGTAAAAGAAGCTTAAGAGCTGTGGCATTGAGCATAATGAAAAATCTTTGAATGCGATCAAAGGTTATTTGTCAGGTTCTTTCCCTGTTTACGTAAGTAAACCAGGGAGAAACAAAGAGGGTTGGTCATGTGAATGTCGGTGGAGTGGATTTAATGAGATTCGTCTTATCTCATATTTAACTGGGCTGGAATGGATACAAATTTCGTTAATGATATGATGTGGATGAGGATAAAAATTAGATTCATTATGATCTTATGGATGATAAGATATATGATGTGAGTATGACATTTTACTCATCTTATCCCCTCCCTTCCACATCATATTTGTTTAAATATAATATAGAGTATTTTTTGAATTTTATTAAATTTTTATTAAAATTATATTTTAGTATATTAAAAATCGTGATAACTTTTTAAATGATGCCAGTTAAAATAATGTCACATATGTAGTGAACATTCAGCAATAAATATTAGGTAGATCTCATATCCCATGAATAATAGAAGATTATTTTAACATCCCTAATTGTTCAAGATTAAACTTGAAATTGGTATTAAATGAAATTTAAGCATAATGTCAAATTAGTTAGTATTTGTATTTTGTATAAAACGTCACTTCGACCTCTATCTTTTAGGGTATTTTAATCCTTAATGTTCAATTTTTTTATCAAAATAATCCATTTTAGATAGAAATTATTGATTAACTAACTATCAAAATATATTTATGACGTAATATTTCTATATGTATTTAATTGATGACATAACGCATGTCATGTCATGACATACAATAATGATGGAAACGAAACAATAATCTTATGATTGATAATGAAAATTAGTGTTTATGGGATCAACGAGTGCTGAAAATAAAACAATAACAGTACATAATATTACAATTCATTTTTTTTGCGAATAGAAAGTAATTTTCATTACATTACATTTAAGGATTGTAACTTAGGGTTATTTTTTACTTAAGAATGTTTAAGCGCTGAATAATTCAAATACTGAATGATTCAGAGGCTCTGAATTAGCTATGAATGTGACATGTTGCTTGATAATGACTCCAAATCATTCAAAATATTTCTGTGCTGAATTATTCAGCACTGTTTTGCTAAATCATCAACACTGAATCATTCACATGTGCGAAACAAACGCGTTGAATGCTGAACGGAAATCAATCCGTTTTATCGATTGTTCAATATGGTAAGGATAATGGTTGTTAGAACCGGACCAGAACGACCGATCGAGTTAAAAACCGAAGATCCAGCTGATTGAACTGGTGGCGTAACCTAAAATTATGTGAACCGTTAAAAAACCAAACTTCAAGGTAACAAACCCAGAGATTCAACTGGTTAAATTTTTTAATCTTTTATTTAATTATTGTCAAACCGATGGTTTAACCGATCAAACTATAAATTAATGGTCCGACCAGTTCAACCACCAGTCCCGTTTTTACATCTGTACGAGGTAATTTGTCGCGAGTAAAGAAAGAATGATCTATCTCAGTGAAACCTGCAAATGCACTTCAATGGCGATGACAGTGTTATTTTCACTAAACAGAAGGCCCTGTTAACAAGATCGTGCGTGTAGGGAGACATTACCTGTTGTGACGGTATAAGGTTGTGGCAAGTTTTGTCGCATGGATATGGGCAATCAATCTCTTTGGTTCTTTTTCTACCAAAGTACCAATCTCCAACTGCTACTGCAATGGTCTGTAATGGCATTTTCAAGTTCCCACATGTAATTTTTGTTATCCGTCCGAGTATCGGATATGAATATATTTGGATATTTACATTACATACCAATGTTCGAATTCGTCTCCGATCTTATTTGAATAATAAATAAATAAAAAAGTAAATCCAAAACATACGCATGAATCAACAGCAAACCATGTGTCCTGTGTCTCACTTTGACAATGAGCAAAGCATGAATTTATAAACATTCCTCCTCTTCCTGAATTTCTGTAGAATGAGTAAGTAGCCGAAAGCATATATTGCCTCAAACCTTGCAATACATTTATCTGGGTTGCATTGCATGCTGCCGGATTAAGCTTGCAATGATTCTAGTGTCCATGCGGATCGGCTGACGGTGGAACCAAACTATGATGAAACTGTTGTGGAAGAAACACAGTGGTCGACACTATGATTATATCAACTATGCTAGAACGTTGAATAGTGTTGAGTTTAAACTATATAACATCAGCAAGGAAATTTACCTGGAATATCTATGCTGAGTTCAAGATAAATAGGGCTTGTGATTATTTCAATGCATACTGGGGAAAGAAACACTACAGAAAAGGAAGTTACATACCTTGCGCTGCAAGCAAAAAAAATCATTCTTGTATGGATAAGAGCACCGCGGAGTTCATACCAGCTTCGGGTTGTTGATCGATTTCTTGCAATTTGGATTTAGATTTTTCTCTATCCCCTGTCATGTACATTTGTTTGGTGTTAAAAATTCCAGGACTAAAACAGGGTTTAAATATGTACATTCCATGATAATTCACACTCATAGTTCATACCTGCTTTATAAATCACTAGAGAGATGGATATAAAAGCAGACCAAAATTTAAGCCATAGATAAAAATAAGTACCTGTAAAGCGATTAGATCATGATAGAAGGACCTCATGGTAAAATTCAAAGTTATGTCTCGTCTGGAAAATGAAAAAAAAGGATGTAACATCCCGAAAGAAGCTTGTCTGCTGCAGAGAAACATTTAATGAAACTTACTCACCTAGAAAAAATCCAGCATCACTTAAACATTTCACACTTGCATTGCATGGTAACATCTTTGTAAGTTGTCACAGTGCAGAAAGGTTGCTAGACCCCCAGCAGAGCAACCTGAAAGCATGCCTACAGCAGAGAAAAAAGCAAATGAAGTATAGCTGAAGTTCACTTCAATATTACCACTGAACACTGCAAGTCATATTTACATGGGAAAATCTTCTTACATATAATAAGCACGTAAATTTGAATACAAAAATACAAGATTAATATCGAACCTCAAAAGTACAAAGTTATATAAGAAATTTTGTACTAATGTGATCTTACCTTGCGTGCACTTGACAACCCTTTGGGCAGAAGATCATGGATAATTGCTTCAAAATTTTCTGCCCTCTGAAATAAACAAATGACGTCTGTTCATTACAGATGCATATACAGGGAAAGGAATTAGTACAGGAGCCAATTCACAGGTCTTTAACAAACCCTGAAATGTGTAAGACATTCCTTATAGGGACATTCAGGCTTGCTTGGTATGAATGGAAACGATGAAAGATAGAATTTTTTTAATCAAATGATCGTGAATATTAACCATTTGATTAACAAATTTTCTGATCCTACCATGACTTAACCGTTCATGCATTCAAGTTTCAGAACATAGAGTTATAAATATGATTTTAAAAAGAAAAAGGTTCACTTCAAGGCATAGAGCTAATATAGAATATCCTGTAAAGATAGTTTTTCCAAGGAATTTGTTGGGTGGTGCATCCCCTGGTGGGAATTCAGCTGATTTCTTGATGCTTGGTCTTGGTGATATGGTATGGAAGCCTCTCTTCAGTATATGAAAAAAGTAGTTTTTGTTAACTTTTGAAGGTGTCTTATTTTATGATCAGCAGTCATCATTAAATCTCGTTTGATTTTGATCTCTATGTTTGGTCTTGTCCCCTATGTTGCTCGAGGAGTAATTACTCGGGCAAGTTTACTGGTTGCAATAATGTTTATTTATTTATTTATTTAAAGTTGAATTTTATATGTCTATGCTATATATCATGCAACGCTCTTGAATATTTGCAGGCTCTTTGTTACTGGACTAGCATCTATTAGTATATTGAAGGTGTAGGTCCTTAAATCGTCAGTTCAGTTTCAAGCTTGAGAAGTTTATTCTGGTTTGCAAATGACACTTGCGGTCTTGCACTTGGGAGACCAGTGGTCTGGACTTGTCAACCGACCATTTATTTTTTGCAATTCATGCATTTATAGAGCAAGCACTCCAATAATATGCATGTGACATTTTGAGAATAACACCGTTGCATTGTTTATCAGTTTCACATTACTTTGCTGGCTATGTCAACCTCTTTCTTTTTCTCCCCAATCATTAGTGTGACTTTTCTTTTCTTTTCTTGGGTTCATGTAGGCTATTCCTGCAATGCTTCTAGCATTGGTCCTCTGTTTTGATCATCGAAAGAGTAGGGAAACGGTAAATCTTTTAGATTTACATTCCTCTAAGGGGCACAAATATATATGGCATGCGCTTCCTGGATATGCTGTTGGACTAGTAACTGCACTTGCGGCTGGCATTTCGCTCACCTCAACCTGCTCTCCTTTATCTGGTATTTTGTCATTACAGCTTATTGAAACTTGTTGACCCTCTATATTTATTATGAGTTTTTGGAAACATGATGTACTCATTCTGATCATTTCTATTCTCCCTGTTTACTGGATCGAAATTCACAATCTGATCATGTTTTTGCAAACATTAGTTTTTTTGAGTTCATGGGATGCCTGTTGCACCTCCACATCGTCTTTGACTTGCATCCTTGATCATTTACACGTAGGTACCTTCACGCCGGGCCCGTAATTTTCATCTCGTGGTTAAGGAAGGAGCTACTTGAATTATGGGAAGGAACCATGCCAAATCTCAATGACAATGCTAGGCAGATAGAAGCCTGATCCATTTTGTCTTGTGGCACAATGCCGGGTTAGGTTGCGTCTCGTCGGGGCACGTGGAACCGTTTGGTTTATATTCCTTTGGATGTTCTGTCATTGCTCTAAATGCTTTCTGGCCTTCCATTTATGCCTTACTATCGATGGTAAAACATACCTCTATCTGATGACCAACAAGCTGTATGTGATACTATGCAACACTTTCATCCTCTATATGAAAACCAAAAAAAAAGTTAATGCTCAAGAGGTGATGTGAAATCCAGTCTTAAGAGAAAAGAATTGTTGAAAAAAATAAAATCATTAATCATTTTTCTGAAAAGGTTCAAAATAAAAACGGATATACCAAACAAATACAGGTTCAAAGTTGTGGTAAAATCTGAAGAAGAAGAAAAGGAGAGAGATTTAAAACGGCACCGTTCCAACGACCTTAAGAATCCTGCGCTTCACTGAAACGTTTGTTTTTTGGAAATCTAACCTTGCCAATGATACATTCCCAAATGAAAGCCAGAAAACAAATTCGATGAGGCTAGTGATTGAACAATAAGCTGGTTACAAGATCAACGATTGCTCTAAAATGCTTTCTGGCCTTCCATTTATGCCTTACTATCGATGGTAAAACATACCTATCTGATGACCAACAAGCTGTATGTGATACTATGCAACACTTTCATCCTCTATATGAAAACCAAAAAAAAAGTTAATGCTCAAGGTGATGTGAAATCCAGTCTTAAGAGAAAAGAATTGTTGAAAAAAAAAATCATTAATCATTTTCTGAAAAGGTTCAAAATAAAACGGATATACCAAACAAATACAGGTTCAAAGTTGTGGTAAAATCTGAAGAAGAAGAAAAGGAGAGAGATTTAAAACGGCACCGTTCCAACGACCTTAAGAATCCTGCGCTTCACTGAACGTTTGTTTTTTGGAACTATAGCAATGTTTTTGCTCTTTCGTACTCCGATGCCTGCACTCAGTTGAGAAGTTTCTGCAGACATCATCTGAAAGACTGTAGAACGTGGTGGAAATGTGCTACTACCTGTGAATACCGCTGGACGAGGGTTGGAACTCTAGGGATTTTTTATGGTTGTAGTAGCATCCATGGCAAGCTTGGAAGCAGGTTTTTCTCATGATATCATTGTTAAACTTTTTACTGAAAAGGGCCAGGTGAGTTCTATATCATGTGAGACCTTGCAGGTTTTAGATGTCGATAAGCATCTACTTGTGGTCAATAGAGGTTCTTTACTCGATGACCAAAGGTTTTAAAGCTCTTTGTCGTTCAAGATTGTTAGGGATATGGATGGAAAACTTGACCAAGGCTCTGCTACTGACACACCACCTTCAAAACTCGAGTTAACTGTAAGCTGAATTCTTGCTCAACTCACAATTGATGCCACATCTGATTTATAAGGTATATCTCAACAATAAGGCGAGGCAATAATTTCATAAATCAGAATTCCTTTCCTGATCTTATCTGTAATATAGGTACAATTATCTGAGCAGCTGATGAGCAACGTGCTCTTTAAAAAGGCAACTACTAGAATTTGTCTTGTGATTACCAAAACCATCTTTGAGTTATATTCAATCCCCGTCACTTTGTCTAGCATGTCTGCAACATCAGTTAGGAGACTACCAATAGTGTGGTAGATGCTTAGTAGCGAAGACAGAAAGTGGCATGCCTACCCTTTTCCACATAAATCTTCGTAGCTGACCTAAAAATGCCAGATTCCGACCACTTCCTTCCAAGGTGTCAAAGTACTGCTTTCCATATTTGCTTAAAAGTCACAGAACAATAGAAATGACCTCAAACTATCTTAATGCTAAATCATTTAATTATGGCAAAATCACACGAATATAGAAATAGAAAAAAAAAATCCAAAAGTAGAGATCATTGAAATTTATTTTCTCAATAAGGTTGTATTTACCTTGAAATTGGGAAGACGCTTGGATCACTTGACATCTTCATGAAGACGCATGGAAGACCTGGTATTTTCTTTGAACAAATATACGGGAAGATATCATGTCTTCCCTACATCTTCCCCGACGATGTTGGGTGGTCCAGACGTCTTCCCCAAATATTGTAACATCATCTCATTTATTTTTCACTTCGTTCAATAATTTAAAATTATTTATTTCACTCATCTATATTTAAAACAATAATATGAAATATGTAAAACTAACCTATATTAGCATTTTAGGTTTTGAACATATTTTATATAGTTGTGGATTTTACACATCACTTGTAAACAATCTCCCATATGTGAATCCACTTGATATCGAGTTTTTTAAGGTGTAAATAAAATGAACAACGATGATAACACGAGGGTGGATAGGGTGTAGGTTCTTCACAAAATACATATATGAGTGACAGAGTAGGCAATTGAGTAATTCGAATTGAGTTTTGTTCATTTTGAATCTAAACTGCAATCGGTTTAGATTTAGATCGGGTTTAGATCATATTTGATTCGGGTTTAATTCATGTCTATGGAAATTTTGTTCGGCTCAAATTCGGATCTATTAATTTTCGCACCAGATTAATATCGAATTAGTTGATTTTAGATCGGGTCAATATATTTCGATTTGAGTCAACCATATATTTTTTAGTCAATTCAGGTCGGTTTCACTTCGAGTCAACCTTTAGATTTTCGGGTCAACTGTTGTCATTATTTGACTTAGTTTTCATTGTTGTTCTTTTTTACTTATAGTTTAAGAATTTTATGTTAATATATGTCACATCCCAAATTCTGAACTAGAAGTTTTAGATTCAATCAATTAAATCAATGAATTTTTAAATAATTTTTTATGTGAATATATATTATACAGTTAAAGTTCAAAAACTAAAGTTATTGCATAGATATAGAGATGATTTCTTAACTATGGACATATTAAACCATTAAACAAGGACTATATTAAACCACTAAACTGTTATTTGAAAGGGTGGTTAACAAATAGTATAATATAAAATGAGAATAAAACATATAACATTTTACTATTTATCAATGATAAAAATATATCATAATATAAATAAATAAATAAATAAATGTTCATTTACTTATACTCAATTATCAGGGTAGTTCTGTTGTACGACAACCTTAATATACGGCTAAGGAAATGTTCTACCGGAAATTTTAATATTTTTTTAACATTTCCGGTAAAACGTTACCTAAAACATTGTTTTTTTTACCGAAAATATTAATTTTGGTACCTAATTTCCAATAAAAAAATAGCATTTTATGTAGCGCCCAATATTAACATTTCCAATAGAAAAATAATGTTTTAGGTAGCGATTTACTGGAAATGTTAAACATTTTAGGTAGCGCCCGATATTAACATTTCCGGTAGAAAAATAATATTTTAATTAACGCTTTACCAAAAATATTAAAAAAAATATTAACATTTCCGATAATACTTTTTTAACGTATATCAAGACTGTCGTACTTTAGACATCCTCAATTAGGAGGTTAAAATCAGATCAAGGTCGATGTTCAATTCAAATCGAATATGGGTAACCTAAAATTATTTTCAATTTGGATTCCTTTCCATTCAAATTGTTTCCAACTTGTGTTAGTTTAGGTTATTTTCAGTATAACTAAATTTCAAGTCAATTTCAATTCCATTTTAGGTCATCTCATTCAAGTCATGGATCGGGTAAAATCAATTCAAATAATCAAATACGAGTCAAATTTACCAAGACCAATGAGTAATCAATTGGTTCGACGTAGAAAAATTGAAAACCAAGTAAATTTGTTTGCATTTTTTCTGAATAAAAATCAAATCAATTCAAAAGAAAAATCAGCAATCACCGATCAGTTTTCAAATCGATTTGAATAGACAAATCTAATCTAGAAAGACATAACTTTAGAGTCATTACTTCCTCCAATTTTTCATATTCAATTCAAATAAACAAGTTTTCGAAACACAGACTTCAGTCTCAAACAACAAACAAAAAACACAAGGTAAACACTCTAGCTGCTACTAAACAAGAACAGAGCGGAACCAAGAAAACAAAGGTTTATTTCTTCTTTTCTGCACCTCCACCATGGGCCCTGCAGCACCAAGAACAATATTATTACCGTTTTTAGATGGCAAAGGTTCCCTCAAAACATAAGAAAACATATACTTGCTCGTCTGAGACATAATGAAAGATATTACCTCATTTTGCGGAGAACGCTGGACATCTCTTCACGCTTCTTCTTTGCCCTTTTGTGAGTTCCCAACTTCCTTTTGCTACCTTCAGAGCTCGCTTGTCCTTGCCGACTTTCAGAAGTTCAGTGATCCTCTTCTCGTATGGTGCAAAACCAGCAACTTCCCTAATCAAGCTCCTCACAAAATGGACTCTCTTGCTTGTTTTCTGAATAAAATAAAGTAATCAGGACTGTGACTTCTAGGCTGAAACAAGCTCTTTGAAAAGATAGATACAAATAATAACAACAAATCTAACACAGCATTTTACTAGCATCAGTATTTTCCTATGTTGCTCTGACTATTTTTAAGTACTCGTTTTCATGCATATCCGAATAATACAGAGATATAACCCGCCAAAAACTGTCAATTACACTACCATAAGTCCATAACTAAAACCCATGCTCGAATCCGAGCCATGTAGATTTTTCACCTAAGCAAGTTTACATTTCTCTTTTGATAAAAGATTATTTCTACTGGCCATACACAATTACAAATAATCTACATAAATGACAATAGATATGTACTTACTCCTTTCGAATTGAGGGACGCGGAGCCAACTCTTCTTGGTAACAACATGACCCTTGTTCAGTCCTACAAATAGGCCAGAATTTGGCTGCTTGGTAGCCATGCCTGCATCAGAAACAACAATACATTGAAGCAACATTTCAATAATCTTTCGTATTCAAATTAATCGGTCTCTTATCAACTCCTTCAAACAGGAGTTGATAAATCATTTTAACCTAGGAATCGAACCATTATATTATTATTATCCTCCATAAATAGCTAAAATTCCAAAAAAATCTCAACACCAAGATCTACATGTAGATCAAATGGCATGAAAAATGGGCTTCAAAATTAACTATAGCAAATAGAACAGCACGGAAACCGAAGCTTTTAAGACAATAGCAGAACGCTAATATCATCATATTAGCTCAAACAAACCCACCGATCAACGGAGATCAGATAATGAATACAGCAACATTTCTGGGATTTCAGCTTACAGTTTCGTTTCCCAGGCAATCAAACAGAGCAGAACACTCGGGGAAAAAAGATACTAAAGAAGTGTGAAGGGGATCAGAGAGAGAGCGAAGATGTACCTGTGGAGACGGGATATCTGAGGCGGAGTTAAAAGAAAATTGGGTTCTGGATTCGTGATATAACAAATATTGACCGCTAACCCTAGGTTTTTAGGGTTTGTAACATGGGTTCTGGGCTGAGAAACCAAGAAATAAGAACGTGCTGAAAATAAATGCACAAGGATTGACCCAACCCAAAATCTCTTAAAGCCCAATTGCTTTAGAAGGCCTATCTTTCTAGGGTATAAATATGTTTGGGTGTTGCTACTATGTTAAAACTTAAAATTTAGTCCATAAATATTAATTTTGTGACATTGAATTTTTTTTAAATATTTTTATTTGAAAATCTTGATTACCCTTTCACTTTAATTCAAGTTTATGTTGTTACGGTAGTAGAGATGAGAACAGATCAAGTAAGGTCGGGTTTTTGATACACCTGAATTTGATTCGAGTATATATCTTTCCATTCAATATTCGATCTGACCCATAGTTAGAGAAGTTCAATCTAACCCGAAATCTGACCCAAATTATGGGATAAAAGCCTGCACTCGATATGATCCGTCATAATATTCCTCATTTTTAATAAGTGAAATAGGGAGCTGATTAAAAAATATAGACAATGATATAATAGTACTTATCCCTAAATATAATGTCAATTATACTAATTATTCTTGAATCAGACATTGTTCACTCTAAATTGATCTTGACTTGATCTTATCATTCAAAAAGTCGACCCAATTTAAACTCAAAATTTTCAACAACAAAAAACCACATAAAACAAAATTGGATCGAAACTCGTTGAATTCAGGTTAAATGTCAATCTCTATATCGTAACTATTAGGGAATGTATCTTTGTAATTTCAATATTTATGGTTTACAAGAGAAAAAAACAACAAATGACATATTTAAGACAAGGTAACACTTAACAGTATTGTCTGAATGGTACATCTAAAATTACCTGGTGTTATGAAAGCAAGGCCTGCATTTTTGGTAGCATGCGTTTAACATTCTGAGCTCTACTATTGTATTGCTAGTGATATTCATTTTCAGGACTTGCCATGGCCAACAAAAGTGACTCAGCTTACCTCGGCTCCTCTCTTTGCCCTCTGCTTCTTCTAATTGTTTTCATTAACTCCTCGATCCGTTCACGAGTCCTGCTGCTCTGCTGTCGACTAGCTTCAGAGACCGCTCGGAAGCTGCCTGTGCAGCTATAGCAGCGGCTGCAAGTTCTTCTTTCAGCTTTAACTTGCCATTGGATATTTCCAGAGCTGCCTTTGTTTTGTCCAACTCTTGCTTCAAAATGACAGCCTAATCAAACATCAATGTTGTTGGATTTTATCTCAGCAACCCCAATTAAATTCAATGTCATTTTTAAGAGTTATCTAGATATAAATCAAGATTATCTATACTATTCTGAGTTTCTGACTGCTTCTGCTTGAAGCTCATGTATTTGACATTTGTGTCATGGGGGATATGATCCTCCATATTCGTGGAAACTTTAAATATGTTTGACTGATACGATGATAAGACGAGTCAGACTAGTCTTAGGCAAAGAGTCGAAGCCGAGTAATGTAAAAGATAAAAAGATATTCGTATTCATTCACATAGCACACAAGTTTGATGGTTCATATTGACAGAATACAACTACATACCAGTTTGTCACGCTCTTAACCTCTTTTTTTCCTGCTTCCACTTCCAACTCACAAGCTTCCCTCCATCTAGCAACACCTGCTTCATTTTCTTTTATTTCCGTCAATAGTTTCTCGACCTTATAAAGAGAAATTTCAATAAAATAATAAACTAAGAACAGAGAAGGGGGGTGAGCTGAGGATGCAGGAAAAAAAGGCAGATGCTAACATTTTGAGCTAAAACCATCTCCCTGTCTTCCAATTCCTTAATGTACAGTGTTTTCTTCAATTTTTTGAACTTGTTTCTCTGTAAGACTCTGCAGTCGCTCGTTATCGGACCTAGCATAGCAACGACAATAAATCTTTTAGCAGGAATAAGAATTGCATATTTAAAAACGGGAGAGCATAGATTCATAATATTTGCATCTTCCGAAAGAGGCACATCAATCTAGTTTTTACCTATACTATATCGTTAAAGTTATAAACTACAATCAAAGGATGCCTACATTGTCATCAAAAGCAAAATATTACATAGAGAAGTGCAATCACCGTGAGTTCCGATGCGAGTAAGTCTCCTATATATGCTCAATTAAGTTTTCTCATGTATCTAAACGATCATATTCTCATACTCATCAGAATATTTATCGGATGCAAGTTCGGGTACATAAGCAATAGCAGCAAACGTTGATGAAATACCGAGATTCCTCCAAAGATCGTCGTAATTGAGAAATTTCAAGTCTTAAATTCTTCATTATCTTCTCCACCGTAGAGGCCTGTCGAAGACGGAAGTTACTATGCAAGACATTTTGTTTGTTGCAAATTGATCAATGTATAGTACAGACGCATACCAGCTAGCTAGAATTACTATCACTAATTCTTACCGAACAGTGTGTGCCATCTATAATAGAAAACGATGGATTGAACAAAAAAAAAAATACGAGTTGTTCGAAGCGTGCATGAAACACTGTCCTTAAGTATCTTAACCCATATGAATTTTAGGTTCAACTGAACGGCAAAACTGAAGCATCCATGTGAAGCTAATATGTCAATGCAAACAAAGATAAAGTGAACTTGAACATACCAGGCTAACAACCTCCTCTTCACACTCGCTATTATCGGATTTACTCCCATTAGTAGAAGTACTACTGGCCCCGGAACTCTCGATGGCTTGCTCGTTGCTTCCCATCATAAACCCGAACCCGACTCTCTGGAGCCCCCGCTCTGCAATATGTAACAATGCCACCCTCTTTTGCTCATTGTTCCCTTTCAACTTATTCAAATTCTTCTCCACTGCCTCTTTCTCCACCAAAGCGATCCTCAACAAGCTGTTGATGTCACGGTTCTCCTCCGTTAAACTCACAAGGCTGCTCTCCAATTCCCTCTTCTCCTTCTTTCTTGCTTCCTTGAACTCATTTGCTTTCGAGTTAGCTTCACTCGCAAGTTTTAAAACCATGGTAATTTATCTCCAAAAATCCCCAGTTCTTTGTTCTAATTCTGTTTTTTCGCTATCGCAATCGCTCTCGCTATCGACATTCTCCATCAATGCCTTTTCATCATTCAAAACTTCGATGAGTTTGACCAAATTTTCCTTCACTGACCGGATCGAATCCAAAATTTTCTCAAATACTTCATTCCGAACTTTAGTTTTGGATTCAAGCTCTTCGATTTTTCCTCTAGAAATTTCAAGCTGTTTCTCGAGTTCTAGCTTCGCTTTCAATTCCTCGTCGATCTTTCTAGCGAAACCTTCTTCGTTTTCTCTCAGAATGACTTCAAATTCCTCGATTTGGTCGTGGACTTTTTCCGTTGAAGTAGCGGCGTGAGCAATTGCTTCGTCTCTTTGTTGCTGTAGGAGACTCATATTCTCCTCCAAAGATGAAGATTTGAATCGGAGAGATTCCAATTGGACGAGGATCATGATCGGAGATTGATGACGACACGGCGGAAGAATCGCGACCGCTAATAGAGATTTCTGATGAAGGGTCTGCGGTGGTTTCCATGATCTATAGACAGAAGAAAATGATTTACGGGTTGTGGTGAGAAAGGGAGATGAAGTAGGCATGGAGGGAAGAGAGTGTCTTCAGAAGCTACCAGTCAAACGGACACCAGAAAGGTCAGGTGGGCGAAGGGAATACATGGATAACTAGTTTTGGCGGGGATTAGTTAAATGTCACTATGTTATGACTTCCAGTTAAATCCTTATTTAGTCCCCAAAGTTGGGCACTTTTATCTATTTGGTCCCTGAATAAAGTTTCTTTTTCATTAGTTTGACACATGGAATTGCAAAGTATTATCCATGTTCATCATTATCTATTTTCATTTTTGTAATTTATGAAACATAAAATTGGTTACATCCAATTAAAAATTATCTGAATATTTTTCTTACACCTCACAATCATTGAAAATCTTAAAATATCTTTAATATCTGACATTAAAGATCTTTAAATGACGTAAAAGAAATGTCTTGGAAGATATCAAGACCTAAATTTTGAGATAATTCTAATGGCACGGCTTTTAATAGCACTTGACCTACAAGATTCAATTTCTCGTCACTGACCATAGTCACTTAGGCCATACCCTTCTAATAGTCTTCATATCTACGTTAAAAATACATTAACGAGTCTACATAATCTCTCAAATATGATCAAAAGACAAGATGCAACTTAATAAAACACCTTACCTTAGCGTTTTTTTAACTCTACCTTTCAATTGATATCGATCAACGATTGATAATCATTAATTATAACTTTACGCTCAAATAAAAAAAAAACATCGATAATATTACAATTCATTTGATCCTATCAATAAAACTACTCTTTTAAGTCTATTTTTTCCATTTCATACAGATCATGTAAATTTACATAAATTTAAATTTATTAGAATATGAAAAAAAATTAATTATAGCAAAGAACAATTCCATTATAATCGAAACAAACTTTAATCGAAAAAGATTCTTCAAGATGAAAATAGAAAGCAATATAAAAGTGCAAAGGACAATGCTAAAGCTTTATAAAAACGCTAAAATAATAAAACATTCAAACTAAAATCAATGCTCCGTTTAAATAGAAAAAAAAGGAAAAGGATAAAAGAATATTTAGTCCCTTTTACAATAGTTTCTCAACTTGGTCCATATTTTTTGTCCATATTAGTGTCTTAACTTAGATTATGCCACACGTTTTAGAATTTTCTTACACCTTAAACACATGATTATTCGATATCAATATCAATATATATATATATATATATATTAAAAACTACAATTATGTTAATTTATATACATATTAAAAATGAATTAAGACGACTTATATAGTATAAAAAAGTTAAATTCTATTTTTCAAATCATTATATTAACTTAGTTTGATGGATGAAATTAAAATATATATTTTGAGGATAGTCAAGTTTTTCATTAAATATATTCATTACTTATTATTCTCAATTATCAATTTTCACTCATTCAACAATTCAAAATTTTATAAAACTTAAAAATTTTATAGTGCGAATAGATCTTATCCCTTCAAAATTTATATCCATCCTCTCACAATAAATTTGTTATATTTTAACCTTTAATAATACATTTTTTAAAATTTAACTTCTTATTGTGTTAAATATATCATTGACAAAAAATAATATTTTATTGTGTAAATAAGTTAATTTTTAAATATATTAATTATAAAACTAAACTATTTAAAATTATTAAAATTAAAATTTAATAATTTTGGAAAAAAATAGTAAAACTTATAGTTTAATTAGTGTTTACGTTAGAAACGATTCAAGTTTTTCATTATAAAATTAAGACTCAACTTT